CTCTCTCTCTCTCTCTCTCTCTCTCTCTCTCTCTCTCTCTCTCTCTCTCTCTCTCTTCGGTGTAAACAGGGTGAAGGCGACCGATCATTAAAAGTAATTTCACGTTGAGCACGCCAATGGAAAAAAACGCGCGACGACGCGTTTAAAATGGACGAGGGGAGGGAAGGGAAAAAGAAAAGGGAAAAAAAGGGAAAAAGATTCCCTTTCCGATTGGTCCGTCCGCTTCTTATTGATGAAACGAGTCAATTAAACGAGGGGATCGCAAATCACACCACTTCTGTTTGGGTAAAATCAATCTATGGGGACATCGATTGGCTCGATCAATACCATCGACTTGACACAATCAAGGTGTTGTGACAATCTTGCTGAGAATTTTAGCTGAACACGTTAACTATTTTGTTAATTCAATCGTCCTCTTTTATATGTATTATATGTATATGTATTATATGTATATGTATTTGATTTAACATAGTCTCTTTTCAGAGAATATAAATACGATGAGATTCGAGAGTAAATATGGTGAGAGTGGTGAGAGTAAATTGCCATATATGTGGGGAAAAGATGGATGAGAAAGAATTTAAATTATAAACGCGAATGTAAACGTTATTCGTGTAATATTTTAATATATTCTGTGTTTTGATTTTCGTATGTAAAAAAAAAAAAAAAAAAAATAGAAAAAAAAAGGTACGAGGATGTGTTTGAACGACTTTGAGTAATGTCGAAATTTTGTATTTGTGAATATGACACATACCAGAAATTTTCACTCGAAATATCTTCGTTATTATATCATGGATCTATCGATTATATTTTCAACTCCAATCTTATGTACATATATATGTGTATATGGTATAGGACGATGTGTTTATAAATTTAGTGGAATTGTATGGTGATTACATGGTACGTGTAGTTGTTTATGCTTTTGACGCTACAATAACCTCGAAATGGATGTACACAATACAGTTGATGTGTTATGTAAATTGTAGAAATTAGAAATTAAATAGTAGAATTGTTATCGATTAAATATTACAAGGAAAGGAAGGAAGTTTAAAAATTTTTATTTTTATATCTTTCGATTGAAAAAGAATTTGATTTATTACTTTTGTTCAGTTTTAATTTCGTGAAAGAACAAGAATAAAATATATTTCTCGGCGATACGTTTGAATAAATGATCACAAATCACTGTATATTTAAATATAAATATTGTAATTTTAATAACGCATCGAATCTTTTTCTTTCGTTTTCTCTATAATAATATTGATAATATTTGCCACAGTTCGTGATTGTGTACATCGATGTAAATACGTGATTTCCTTTCCTCGAACCAGAACACAAATGACTACACAGCATGTCAATTACCATGAAAACTTTGCAAGAATTCTGTAGCGTGCCAAGTGTCGCAACGATTATACCGTTAATTCGAAACGTTTTACATAGTAATTTTATTACCATTTTACCTAAGAATAAATATTTAAAAAAGAATAAATAACATTTCACCATCCAAACATAATTCGAATAAGTTTCTTTCGATTTAATCGTTGAAATAATTGAGGAAAATCCATTCAATGTAAAAATTTGAAGAATAAGCACGACACATTCGACAATTTCATAACATTCAATCCCTCCAACTATGCACACTATTAAAATTCCCTGAATATTGAATGTCCAGTGAAAAATTCCAATCTTTCAAAAACTGATAAATTTCATTTCATTTTCTTCGTGGCAAGAATTTTTCGATTGAAAAACGAATAAATAAATTTCACGCAAAAATTCGTAGAATTCTACACGTTCAATTTTACAATTTTTCGACCAACGTGCAAATAGAAAAATCTCCCCAATTCGACGACGAATTTATACACGCATTAAAAATAATTAACTTCTTCTGATGATACTTATAAAAAAAAAAAAAAAATTCGATTACAACGAATTAAAAATTATTCGTATCCTCGCCACTGCACGTCCACGCATTACACGCAATCTACGTACCTTTCGAGAGCATCACGCGCATCAAATTCCATTATATAATTTACCTACCATAAACGATGGTCACACCGATGCCCGCGTTTCACACAGGAAATCTTTCAAAATCTCCGCGGGTGCAACGCAATGAAATCGAGGGTGGCGAATGTAGGGGCGCGATGGTGTTCGAGGATGTGGACGAAATTCAGGTAAGTTTTCGAACGGATCGAATCTACGTGTGCCATCAACGATGGGCGGCGAAAGAGGATTGGCGACGCGAGAAACTGCCGGTCGGCTCGACGGTCCGCGCGAGACTGCCGCGAATCGGCGCGCATTCCAGCTTCGCCTCGACTTCCTCGATCCACTCTCCTTGCTTGCATCCACCACGCTTCCTGCACGACCGATCGATTACTCGTCGATCGTCGTATCGCCTTAACCTCGCATCCTTCCACCTGCATACCGCCTTCCGGATCACGCGAAACCGTACAATCGTGCTCGTCGCCCGACAGGATGTCGCTGCACCGAATATAGCGTACAACGTATGAGTACCGTCCTTGTGTGTGCGCGCTTCTTGTGGTTAACCAAGAATCGTGGACCGAATCATCGATGAAATGAATTTTTCTTTTTCTTTCTTTATTTTTTTGTGCGCGTAATTATTGTAGTTTAACATTTGATCGAGGATCAAGAAAATAACGCGGTATTTGCTTTTCCTTTACGTGATCATTTAATTGTGGACTGGGTATATGTAATGGTATATATTTAACTTTTGCTTTTTAGATGAATTTTTTTTTTATATATATAGTTATCGATCGAGGCTCGAGCAGCGAAGCAATTATAGCATGAATACACCTAATTCGCTTTTCGAAGGAATTTTTTGTTGAACATATATTGTTGATAAGATATTCGAGATATTTTGTGGAAATTAAATAGATTCATGGATGAAAGTAAATTTCATTTCCTTATCGAATTATATTATATTATCGCACAACAACATTATTCATGTTGTATGAAAATTTTTATAAATTTATCGATCACTACGATATACACGCTTAAACGATTAATCAAAATCTGATATAATCGTGCAATCGTTCATCACAACAATGTATAATTATTTTATTCTTGTCCACGAGATACGCGAGAGAGAAAAAAGAGAGGAAACGAGAAAACAAGCGCGTCGATTAATCGAACGTGAAATTATGATTTGAGAGGGTGCATAATTGTTCCAGTCGAATTAGAGCGCGACGGGAGAAGGGAGGGGAATATTTATTTTGCCTCGTAAATAACAATCGTCCACGGATTATTTGCCCAAGGCTGATGATGGTTCGTGCATATTCCTCCGAAGATTATTGAAACTGTAAACAAATCACGGGCAACGTGTCCACGTTCGACAAATAAATGGCAACGTGCTCAAGGCGGTATCCCATCGATCGATCGAGGCGTGCCATCCATGCCGGGTGTTCCGCCGAGCTTAGAGAATTCTAATCCCTGCAAATTCAACACGTCCACGATACAGTAGAACTCCATTTATTACTCGAATTCCATGCTGCGGATCGAACGAAATTTTTCTCATCGATCGAGGGAGTTCGACATAGGACAGGATTAATCTGACCAAGTTTTGGATCGAGAAATTTTCTAATTTTACATACAGGAATGTATAACAATGTTTTGGATACTTTTTCGTTTTATTTTTATTTTATGTTGTTCATCGATTAACAAAAGTTCAAAATGATGTCATTATTTTTTAATTTTATGGAGGATCGTAAATTTTGAAATTTTTTATTTGCGAATTCAGTGAGATTTCGAATGGATCGAATGGATATGGAGGGATAAAAGCGATTTTATTTTTACGATACGTTATAGTTAAAATGTTTAATACCTTTTATACGATTTCGAACTAACGTGATTTATGGATACAGTTTCGATTATAAAAGTGAAGGAAACGCGTATTTCCGGAAGGAACATCGATATGTAATTTGTAATAATAAGAATGTCGTTAATAATATCGACAATAATATTTTTATAACTTTTGCTACGATAGTTTTAATCCAATATGATATTTTTGAGACCAGAGATGGTAAATAATATTGTCGTTATTTATTATATATTTATGTAGCTTCGATTACAAAGACAGAGGATTCTTCATTTCTGAAATATATTCATGCATCGAGCCATATCATTTATTTATAGATTTAAAGATAATATTTCAAAAAAAAATTAATGAGAGAAGAAGCATCTATTTTTAATTAAAAATAATTGTATATGTGTTTTAAAATTATCTAAAAAAAATTTTCAATAAAAATAAAAGAAGCAAAGAGGAAATAACGTTTTTGCTTCGTTTTTTATGAAACGTTATTTATCCTCGTTAAATCTAATTGTTGCTGTATGATGCGAAATGAATCATTGGAAATTTTTATAATCTACGTATGAAATGGAATTCATCTTTGTGAACTTCCGCCATGACTAATCTTTCTTACGGTAAAAAAAGACAAAAAAGATAGTTCCTATAAATTCTTCTTAAATATTCAATGATCTATTTCTGCTTAATTAAATATTTTGTCATTCAACTTCACATTTTATTAAAATTTTCTTAAAAAAAATTCAATAACATGGAAGGAAAAAAGATGAAAGATTTAATCAATCATTGGATGAGAAACAACTTGAGTTTAGTTAGCAAGCATCCAATACCTCCTGATCAGCAGGAGGTGGATAATTGATTCAGTTAGGCGCGTGCCCCTAATTGATTAAAATCATCTCTGTCACCCGCGGGTGTTCATGATATGTGAATCATTACATAGAACCTCACTCTAAATATATAATAAATATAATAAACAATTGACAAAAATATACATAACTGTATAAAATACAAAATTTCTCAATAAATATTTCGAATTTCTATTAAATTAATTCTTATTAAAGAAAGAAAAGCATTTCAAAAAAATAAATCGATATTAATAATAATAAAATCTCGATACAAAACAAAATTTTAATTGTACAATTATTGCCTTTATTGATTACATTTCCAATGAAACTTCAAACACCCCTTATGAATGTCAAGATCGTCCAAAAATTTTATAAAAAAAAAAAAAAAAGATATTTATATAAATCTCGAGAATCGATTGAATTTAGATAATCGAACGTGTATTCGGGTAATCAAATTTCTAAAAGACATCGAATTTCTTCCCAAGCAAGGTTTCGAAGCATGGCATGGGGGTGGAATTAAAAATCCTTACGCGCGTATGTGAGCGTAATTCGACCCCCGTAGGACATGCCCCATCTATAGAGACAGGATTGGGTTACAGTTCATTGTGGTGTACTCTTACGGAACAAAATACCTAGTATTGTAACCAAGCGTGGCGAGTACTCGAAGGAGATTCTACTTATGGGCAGAGCGTCGAAAATTTGGGGGGCTTCTTCCGTCCGGAAGTAAGCTCGTTGCCAAGAGAATCGAAGCCTCGAAGTCTAATACAGATTATATTTTATAACCGATTTATTAAATTTTCTTCTTGCTGTCCAATTGCAAGCAAGCAGAAGAAACACTTTTATCGATCTTTCGTTGAAAAATCATGGAGGTTGATTGAATTAAGATAATTAAATTATTTTTCTTTCATCCTTTGCTTCTATATTTTCTTAATAAAATGGCGAAATTATTTGCTTATTATAAATATCACAAATTTTAAGTATCGTTTAATCGTACTTTTGCGTGTCTAAAATTTAATACCGTGACAACAATAAAAATGTAAAATTTAACTACTTTGTCGTTACTTGTTGAAACATAGTGGTATACTATTTGTAGCCATCGTGTACATTAATCAAATTGTTCAGATGTAACGGTTAGTTAGAAACTATATTTATAATAATAGCAACTAGTGGTACAAGTGGTTCATCCAGGGATA